ACGCAGAACTTGCACTGAAAAAACTTGTTTGTTGGTTTGGGATTAGGGGCAATATGCTGACCGTAATATCCTGGACTGTGGCCATAGTAACTTCCGGTCCCCAATGCAGTTGCATTTTGACCTAAAGAAAATGCAAAAGGAAAGTGGGAAGAGATAAGTAAATAAGAATTAAGAAACCCTTATCATGCCAATCAGTTCCACTTCAATTTTTCTTCATTAATAAGCATCCCATTCAAAAGACCCAAAGGCTCAAGCTGAGGTCCCGAAGAGTAGTCACAAATCATTAATGAACATCCATGTACTGCACCTTCTCGTGGATAAAGACACATTGTATAGGCGTACAGCTTTAGGTACAGCACTCTTCTCATTGCCACAGATGTGCCATGCAGCTATAAAAATAAGCTTCATGAACTTCAGTATTCATTCTAGAACTTCTCAAGACACTAACTACTTTGTTCTCAAAACCAGAAGGAAACTCAGAGACATGAGGAAGCTAAGAAGCCAATAACATAAGGCACTCAAGAAGAGGAACATGATGCCCAAACCACAAAAGTGTCTCCCAAAGAACGAGAAACTCTACAGAAGCCGAGTATATCCAGAATCACGGTTAGAGGAGAAAAAGAAATTAGAACAAATAAAATGTATCAGATATGCTGAGTTTCATATGGATTTACCTGCTAAATCCTCTGCAATCGCAAACTCATCCTTTATAGAAGAAAACTCCACCTCTGTCTGATTACTGGCATTCATGGACCCGGATCGTGGTTCATTAGCATTGTCCTCGGCAACATCAGTTGGCTGTAGGAATGCCGTGTGGACATCCTGAATGTGCGCCTTGAGATCTTCATAAGATGGGGCTCGGAAGTCACAGCCGTCACACTGAAGCACCTCCATGATCTGGGTCTACCCTCTCACATTAGGAACCTGTGGCAGAAGTCGGAACAAACCATATTCATGAACATGGACCAATCGTATACCCCAGGCCAGCTGATGGGCCGCAAGTCCATTAAGTGTGTGTATGTGTGATGTCATTGACTTCGTAACTTCAAAGAAGTGGGGGATGGGGGGGTAAGCTTTTTCTTGTTTGATAATATCTTCAAATGTCATTTGTCAGGGAAATCCTTAATCTTTCCCAAAGTTTGAGTAATTTCTGAATTTCTCGACTGAATTCCAGTTTCTTGGTCTAAGGATACTGCCTTTGGTTCTACCATGGGCTCAGAAGTCAAGTGGATGTCAGTGCAGAAAGAAAGGCACTATTCAATCTTCATTAGCTGTTTCAATGGCATTACCTTGTTGTGTTATCACCAAAAACTGAAAGTGTTCAATCTCGGGAGAGAGACTTGTAGTTTTTATTATCTTAACATTGTAACTGATATTGAGGGACACTTCTTTCCTTCCTTCCCCAAACCATTCTAATCATTTTGTCTCATGAGCCAAATGGTTATTCATCCGTTACTACGTACCAATTATAACCTAACAGCTTCACCAATCTAGGTCATATGGTATTTCTCATGAGATACTCAATCAACTTTAAATGACCATCTAGTTTCTAGTTTTAAGTTGCACATCTATTTACATTAAGGCAACAGAAACTTGTTGTTTTGTTGAAGAGGGGGTTTCTAAGTCATGACTTCATCTTTTTCCTCTTCTCTCCTGTGCAAATGTCTAGTATATACTTGGACACAAAAAGTGGTGAACCTGGTGTGGAACAAAGCAAAACTTGTCCATCTATCTTCATTCTGCTTTTTACTGGGCGAATGAAATACACAGATAGCTGCCCAGTAACTCAGTGGGAAGTGCCCCCATTAAGAAGTGAAGAATGTTCTGGGAAGGTGTAGCTCCTCCTATCTTAATACATATCCCCAGTCGAGACACACAGATTCTAGCTTAATGAGTTACTTCATTAAGCTCACCACAAACTTACTCTCCTGAGTCATTGTAATCTAGAACCAGATGTCCAAGAACTAAATAGCTGTAGCCAATTCTCCTTTATGAGGCAACTCTCTATGCTGCTATTGTAATAAATTATTTCTGCAGGAGGAGCAAAGTTCAACCAGAATGTGTCAAGGCAGGGAAAGTGGCCCTTGCATGAGGATTTCCTATGGAAGAAGGCTCCTCCTGACAGCCTGCTCAAATAACGTCTGGCAAGTCCAGCTCTGGACACACTGAGCTTGCAGAGCGAGACACGGGTATTTACCTACTCTTCTTTCACGTAGCAATTTATCCTTTTTCAATAAACATTGAGCTGCGCACCAGTCTTTTCAGCTAACTAAGTCTTAATATTCCAGATCCACAAGCTTTTATGTCTAAGCACCAACCCAAATTGTGTGGAAGAGGTTGCTATCAGCTCTGGATCAAATTACAGCAGTCACCGAGGCCCCACCCCACTTCTCCTTTCGCACAGTCCATTAGACCTGAAAACAAATTTTTCCATGGTGCAGACGACTCCTGCATTTAGAACACTTTAGAGAGAAAAGGAGAGCATCCAGTGTGCACGCCCCATCCCCCTAGCTTAGTCCTTTCATCTCAGCCAAACAAGCCACAGCTCTGCTGAATGTGTTTATCACACTTTCAAGAGATAGGAGCTCCTGCGTCACTGAAGCTCTAAGACTCACTAAGCTGCCCTAGTCCTCAGAGCTTCAGGAGCGGCCATTTTAGCTCTGAGCTTCTCCTCCGTGCACAACATGGCCTCTCTTGGACTCTGCTAGGCTGACAATCAGAACTGAACGTGAGAAGAGCAGGCTTGGCTCCTCCTATGCTCTTCTCTTCCCAACAAAGAATGAACTGCTTTCATTGCTTTTCGAAAAGCAGCACCTTTCTCCTCCTCAAATGTCATTCACCAAGATCTCCGAAGGTTCTTTTATTCCATGATTGATATGCTTGTTCGTTAGTCCCAGCAAAGCACTGGTTAGGATCAGATCCTGTTCTACAGCAGGATTTGGGGTGGGGTGGGGGGACCTCCAGAATGCCTTGGCTTCTTGGGAGTCGTCCTTCCACACAGAAGACATACCATCCGACTCTGCTTGCCAGATTCCAAAGTCTAATGACCTTTGTTAATCACCAGCCAGTCTGTCTGCATCAGCAGACCTTGCCAACAGACACACCCTTCAACACAAAGGCAGTAGCTATTCCTTTTAAAAGAGGTTCTCTGAAAGCTCCATTGTGTAGCCCAGAGGAAAACAAAATCTCTTCCCTTCAAAACTTCAAGCCTTTAGAAATAATGCAACAAAAGGCTTTCTGCTGTGTGTCTTTTGGAAAGTTTGAGTCTGGTTTGCACAACACCGACAAAACTGACAGTTCTGCACAAGAAAAACAGGGCACCTCCAGCATTCAATCAGACATCCAAAGATGAACTCAGCTCTGTGCAGTTCTCTAGTATCTTCCAAAGCCACTACTGAGGATGCTAACTCGCTGGATGTAAACAAACCAAGTCTCCTTATTCTGCTAGAGAGCTGATTAAAGGGTTATGAGAACGGAAAAAAAAAAAAGCCACTGAATTGGAAAACGAAGAGATGATGAAAGCGATGTCCTAATGGGTTCTAGCTTTAATGCATTTACAGTCTCTACCTCAAAAATAGCTCAGAGCCTTAGAAGAGGTTCATCTCAAGGCTGTTGCTAGAACCAGCGTCAGGGACAGCAGGACAGCCTTTCGATCTGATGTTGTCACCAAGCACTGAAATGAGGATGTAGCCTACTCGGACAGCCATGTTGCCTTTGTGTACACGATTTTCCTGAAGATGCTTACAGGAGGAGATAAAAATCGCCAGCATGGCCTAAACACTCAGAGAAACGAAACCTTAATATATTTATGAGACGGTAGATGTGCACACGTATGAAAGCTGAATGCAAGGGGAAGGAAGAAGGGAGCACGGAAGGGCAGAGCCGAGGAGAGCCAGACCTGAGGATGACCCATCCATCAACAAAGAGTCTGTTTGCGCGACAGATGGCAACTGTCTGAGAAACCAGCAATGAGGAAAAGCATGAGAAGTGAGCTCTGCATACTTGACTCCTTCCTCGACAGGGAAGCACCACAATCCTAAAGAAGCCACAACACACCTGCTACAAAAGGACAGTTCAAAGTTCAAAGCCTTGACCTCATGTCTACTTACTTCATTTAAAGATAATGCGACATATAATGAGATTACCAGTACTTTTTCTTCTTACCAAATCAGCAAAATCAGAAACAGAAGAGGAAGCCTCTCAACTAGCTAAAAAGAAATGCTATCTCAAAAGGCCAGGCGATGGAATCTACCAATCAAACAAGCTCATCTCCTTGCCCCCTGGAGGTCAAACAGCCTTCGGATGACAAGACTCTTACCATCACCGTTGATGATGCCCTAGCTAGGTGGAATCAGATTAGTCCTGAAATGAAGAATCTACCACCTAATGTGATGGGTCCTCCGAACATGAAAACCCTAGATCACTCTAACTACTCTTCAGTACTGAACTGTCAGTTCTTGATTTGTTCAGTTTATAATTATAGTTTGGAGATTTCACAATGAGGGGTTTTGGTGGGAAACCCAAAATCCAACTGTCAGCATTTGACAAATTCTTGAGGACACAGATATCCAAAGATCTTGGTGAAGATTTGGAATATGCACCTGGGAATGGGGAAAAGCAAAGTGTAGACACAGTCTGCTCTTTTTCCACCCTAAGACCACCACCTGTCTACACACTCTCTCTGCTCAGAATTCCAGTATCCTCTATGCCTCAGTTTCCCTCCTACCACGGTGAAAAGACACAAACCACAGCTTCACTGGTGGCCTTCCAACTCACTGCTCAGATGTAACCGTAGAGAAGAGGTGTCCCTGATGTTTCACAGCATTCTCAAAGCTCTGCCACCATCAACCTTGCCCAGGTCAGCTTGGCGAACACTACTCATCAAGCTTGCATGGCCCAGGAGTGTAAGTGTGGTCCTCAAGTCAAAATCCCAAGTGTACGAGAAGTGTCCAAATTAAAACATACAGGCCTTGCCTGGATCTAACCTCTTCTCCGACTGAACGACTGCCGACCAGAAATAAAGCTGTTGAAGCACCACAGCCATGTGATTCAGTAGCAACTAATTATAACCTTCAAAGCCTTGGAGAAATAGAACCAGAAACACCATAAGGTGCTTTTCCTCTGTCCACTCCAGAAACCTAGTTTCATTTATAAGACACTGAATTCCACAGTTCTCCTGAATCATAATTCTAATAAAAGACTTTAGTTAGCACCTGTTGTTTGTGCATTTCTTACTTTCATTTCTTATGAATGAAAAACCCAGTGATTCAAGGACAGGTAATGGAACACATAAACGGAATATTTCAGCTAGCAGAACAGAATCCAAAATCTAAAGACTATGCTATAAAACTTTTCATATGATGAGATAATAGAGTGGTGGGATATGTTGGGAGGTTAGTATTTCTGAGAAAGCCCCAGGACTATGGTGTAGGAAGATGGATACATGAGCATTTTTATTCTGAAAAACCAAACAAAATCACTAACTAAGTCACTTGTGAATGTTGGGCTGCTACACTTAGCAACAAGGAATGCGCCATGTCACTACTAATCATTTCCTCTTATCATAGCCAACATGGAAGATCTAATAATATAAAAATCATTTAAAGCATCTTTCCAGTTAGTACGGAATTGAGACTGAGGCAAACTTTCCCTTCAGGAACAGTAATTGTGAAATCAAACCTACCAATGCAAATACAGTGTGCCCAATCAAAAAAAGAGAAGTAATTTTCTTGATTTAATTCAGAGTCAGATATAGGTACAGGCATTCTAACTTTAACAAGGACTCTGCTAAGGCAGGATCAGTTGCTTTCTAAGTAAAAACAAGTGATGTATGCGCTAGCCCCATGTTACTGTTCCTTAAAAAATAAACCAGCAGCCTAAACCAACAAAGAACC